TCGCAGAGGCCCATAAAAGTCTGCAATTCACGAAGGCAAGAATAAGGCATAATGAACATAGTACAGAAGGAAAACATAACAATGAGCAAAGAAGGGAGGGTGACTTACGGAGGCAGCATTCAGGAGGACCTTCGCCTCGAGGGATCCCTCGTCCAGCCGGGCAAGGGCCAGTCGGTCGGCCGACGACAGCATCTGGCTCATCAAAGCCGAAAGGTTCAAACTGCCCTCCAACACGGAGGCCCCCTTCGGTACTAACGCCTCCAACCTCTCCCGCCCAAAGAACTCCTGATTGATTTGTTCCTGGGGGGTGGAGGCAGAAGCGTGCCCTTCGTCCACAATCACCACCACATCGGTGATCGGTTGTTTGGTAGGGGCGGTGGTCTTCGGCTTCTTGGCCGGGGGCTCGGTCCCCTTTCCAGCAATCTTCTTTTTGACGGGCCCAGCACCCTTGGACCCTCCGGCGCCAGCAGCAGCGCCAGCAGTTTGAGAGGGCCCCTCCCTGGCAGAAGTGCCCGCCGGGGCCTTCTTCTTTCCTTTCGCGTTTTTCAAAGCGAAGAGGGAACCAACGTCCATATTGTTACCTGCAAGCAACAAAAAAAACAGGAGGGTTAGATCGAAGGCTACCAGTTACTACGTCATAAAAAAAAAGCGGAATAAGAGAGAACTATCAACGCATCAGTGAACAATTCGGTGATCACCTCCGGCGCCTTCGAAGACCCTATCGAGGGGAGGATATCTCTCATCCGAAGAGCCCCTCGGTCTGAACTGCCGGAAGCCCAGGCTAAGCAAATCCTCCGGAAGGGTGACTTCTCTGATCTTGACATGCTTGTCAGACCCCTCCGGCTTCTTGGCAAGCACTTTGCCATTCTTCTCCAAAGCTGCGCTCCCCACCTTCGGGTGGCGCCGGAAGCTATTACGGAGCTGGGCCGGGAAGGGATTCTCCTCGAGGCGGATATAGCAGAACCTCTCTTTCCACCCCTTGTGAGACGAGGGCACATCATCAAAAAGCCGGAACTCCGGTACCTGCTGAAGGTTGGCAAAGCCCTCAGCATTTGAATGTCCCCCCCGGCAAAGGTTGAAGGACATGAAGAATTGATCGAGTGTGGGCTCGACCCCCCGGCTCTGAGACAAGGAGAGGAAGCCGGCCACATAAGAGTGGCTGTTGGGCGTTAGCTGGCAAGGGGCCAACCCCACAAATCTCAGATACTCCAAGAGAAAAGGATGGAGCGGGAACCGGAGCCCCATCTCCACCGAGAGGGTGTGAGCAGCAAAGCACCCCTCGGGCGCGTATCGCAGCAAATCATCCGCCCTGGGCTCCACCACGCGCGCCGAAGGTCCAACCAGCATCTGGGTGGACTGGTATTCTGCCGGGGATGCCTTCGTCTTCAGCTCTAGAGCGGCAGTATTCAAGAACGAATGGCCCTCGGGTATGCCCACCGGCCGCCCGGCATCCACTGCCGCTTGCTTCTTCCTCGGGGCCGCCTTCGTCTTGTGTTTCTTCCCGGGAGCCACACTTATGGGCGTCGGGTCCAATGGCCGGGAGGAGCTGGTTTCCCCGGCACCCCGGGGGGAGGAATGGCAACCGTCACCTTCAGCCTCTCCCTCTCCTCTTCCTGCTCGGCGGTTTGCACGGCGAGGGCAAGCTCTTCATCCTCGTTTTCTTGCTCGAAGCCCTCGGCTTCGACTTCGACCTGGAGGTCCTTCTCCACTTCCATGGCCACTGCGGCATCACCACCTGCCGAGGACTCCACACTCGAAGACTCCACATCTGAGCATGTCTCCATCTCTACCGAAGGCTCCCCCGAGATATCCTGGGAATCACTCTGGGACGACATGCTGACTCTAGTTCGAAGGCTCGTAGACGCTAGTGTTTTCTAAATTTTCTATCTCCTAACCTAAGGGCACAGTACAGGTAGCTAAGAGGTGAAGGGAAAGCGGGCACTGACCTTGAAAGCAGAAGTTGTGACCGAAGGCCTGAGTTTCTCTCACTAGAATTTTGGGCAGAGCTTCGCTAAGACAAATGATCGCACAAGGGGAAATGGCTCTGGCCTTGGGGTATTTATAGGCACTGGAATCCGGGCTTGGGCCCGGAAACCGGGCCTCCGGACGGACCGTCATCATTACACACCGTCGTTTCACCCAACCGGTGACGCCGCCCGCGAACAGCATTGTGAGCCCTCGGCACCAGGGTGCCATCGGGTGGAAGAGCCCTCGGCTACTGCTCTATAGCCGAAGGCATCTCACTCGACAAGATATCCGCCTCACATGCGTACAGATCACCGTACCCCGCATAGACGTCCCATCCAATAGCCGCATTAAATGCGGCCACATGCGGCTGCCAGCGCCAACCAGTTGAGGTGACCCCTCGGCCAATGAGCGCTTGACACGTGTCCCTGCCCGGCATTTATTGCTACTATAAATAGCACCCCATTTCCTCATTTATAACCACGCTGAAAACGGCATTCATACTGAATACACTCTCTCTCTACTTTTACTCACTTGCTCTGACTTCTCTCTAAGTTATTCCCCGTAATAACCCTTCGGATATATACCCCCGGGTAGACTATCCATCAATATTTTATTAATAAAATAAAGAAAAAATTATATGTAAAAATAGCTAAAATGGTCATCTATAGTAACTTCAGCCAATACAGCTAGAAAAGTAACTCCAACCTTACTTTTTCGGCTTATTACACAATTCAGCGCACGAAAACAAAATTTACGTGTTTGGTAAAAAAATTGGCTGATAAGCCTGATAAGCCGAAAATGAGGGTTACCAAACGGCCTCTAAATATAAATTTCCATAATTCAATCATTTAATCAATACAATCACTTTAACCACTATTACCAAATAGTCTCTTTGTATTATCTAACTTGTTGTGATGTGTTCAATGTGAAAATCTTTTTAGATGATAATGTGGTAGTATTTTCTTATGATTTCAAAATTTGGTTTAGACGATAAAAGCTCGTTTGATAACATTGAAATCGAACGAATTTTCTAAAATTCATGAAATACTAGTTGAATTTGTTGAGTTATTGAGAAACATTAAAATATAAAATATACTCTTTATTTTATTAATAAAATAAACAAAAAATATATGAAAAATAGCTAAACTAGCCATCTACAATAATTTCACTAACAAAATAACTTTAACCTTACTTATTTTGATTATCACTCAATTTAGTTCGTGAAATAAAAAATTATGTAGGTATTGTTTAAAAAGTTGACATATAAGATGAAAATAGATGCAACCAAATGGGTCCTAAAACTCAAACTTGCACGTACACAAGTATATTCTTATGCTTTTTCATTTTTTCAAAGGCACTTGTCAATATATCTCAAATTAATTGCATTACTTAATTAATTCTCGATATAAAAATTAATCATATTTACTTATTAATCATACATGTTTCTGTAGTGACGTACAAAATGTTAGGGACTATATTTTAACTCAACAATAATAATTAAATAAATCTAACATGGAGTAGTTTCCTAGTTAGCATGAGCCGTCCAGACTCCAGATGAGCTACGTGCTCAATCTAGAACACGCGATATGCGCAAAACCCTTCCCAAAAATTCGGAAACAAACCACACTGAAGTTGAAATTAGGCATGACAATGGGTCGAGGCGGGGCGGATATTGCAGGACCCAAATCCGTCCCATGACTTTACTAGATGGACCCGCTCCGCCTCATCGTAATCTAAATGCCTAGTATGAATTATGTATTTCTATTTGTGCGAAGCCGTTACGATTTAAATTTACATAAAATTTATCTCTAAATAATTATAAAAAGTCATATAATAAATCATAGCCGCTATGCACCGAAAAATGTTAAAATTTTGAGAAAAAATATCATCACTTAAATAGGTAATCTATTATTATTAATTAATGAATATATAATATGCCATATAAAAAAGAAAATCACAATTAATTATCGCTCATCTCATTCAAATATAAATATTAATATATTACAATATCAAGGAATTTATAATATTGTATAGACATATGTATGTATATATGTATATTTGTAGTATAATTATAAAAAATATATGTATAATTATATAATGAACGGGGCGGGTCGAGGTGGGTCGGAGCGACACGGGTCAATACTAATACTCAGACCCACCGCATTGTATGAACGGGGCAGGGCGACCCCGTTCTAAATGCCTCGGGTCAGGGTGGGTCCTTGCGGGCCGGGCTACGATCTTTGACAAAGATAGGCTACAATGGATTTGATGGTTTCATCGACTCTCATTTGTAGACTTTTAGAATGAGAACCCTTTAGGACATGTTCGGTAACCTATAGTTTTCAATTTATAGACTTTATAATTAATTTTTATCAAACACATAATTTTTGTAAGAGTAAGATTACTTTCTCACTGAATTGCCAGAAGTTGCCGTAGCGGACTATTTTATCTATTTTCATGTGATTTTTTCTTTATTCTATAAATAAATATATTTAAATATGTATTACGGATTATAATTTTTCTACTCCGTATACTTTAGTACATTTAGTTCTAGATGTTACTAGCAATCCTGTTTATCACGAGCTATGTTTTCTATACCATGAGATTATGAGAATCATCATAGAAAATGCGTGGTGTACACTTTTTTGTACACCCGTCTGTCCCCAGCAGTAGAGTTGTTTGTGGACAGACAACTCATCTGCTGGGGACAGACGGGTGTACAAAAAGGTGTATACAAAAAGTGTACACCAAGCAAAGTTGATCATCACATATGTTTTCTTACGCGGAAGTCAAGTCAAGTATAACCTTACTACAAATCAAATATTGGGGGCAAACCTATATTGGATGCACAGTCTACGTACATGTCAATGTAAAATTCTAACCACATCATATCAAAAGATTCAAAACCACTTATTGTTCAAATAGCAAATAAGACAGACAAAAATACTTCAAAAGAGAATATCCCAACTACAGAAATATACCCATGTTTTTGTTTTTAGTTTATATTGACATCTAGATTTTAGACTAGCAAATTAACACTCCCCCAAGGTAATGATTTTATATTCAATCATGGATTAAAACTGTAATGATTCTTCTCCAAGGTAGGGTTATACACTTCATATCTTCCCAAGTTCTACAATTCAATCAAAAAAGTCAAGCCCACTGAAAAATTGATAAGCAAAAGAAAAGAATACAAATGTGCTACTCTAACAACAGTCAACTCAAATCAATATTTGGTTTCATTTAATTGGGCTATTGGGCTATGTTGTGACCCGTCCATTAGGGATTCTTGTCGAGAGATCCAGCCCAATCAGCAACCCTCAGCATATTGTGATCCAGCGGACAGAAACTGAACCTCCTCTGCATCGTCAGCCCACAGAGCAATCCGCCTCCGCCGTCTGCGCCGAGCACTTTCTTTGCCGTGGTGTCCACCGCCACCGCATTTTTGTCTGTAAAATTGTGGTTCGAGTCATTACCGTTGGAAGAACTGGAGGAAGAAGACAAATCGCGCGACAACGCATTGGAAGACTTCTGGCTCCTCTTAAACCCTGAGTCGCTGAGCCGGCGGCGGCGGCGGAGCAGGGTCTCTTTCCTCGCCACCAAGTCGCGGAAGGAAATCGCTGACACTCCACCTGTCATCATTGCGCGATCCAACTTGGTAGCTTTGTAGAGAGCGGCGCCGATGTTGAGAACGCCGTGGAATCTGCCAGAAGGGCGTTGTATCTGGACGGGAATGCACGCCGGAGTGCCAGCGGCTTCCTTGATTGAGTCGCGGCAGGTGCTGAGGAGGAATCGGACAGAGCCGACGAGAATGTCTTTGATGCAGGCGGCGGCGTAGATCTCGAATGAGACTCCGGATGTTTCACTGGAGACGAAATCGGGCGAGATCCGGAAGAGGAACTTGTCGTTCCAGGTAGGGTTTTCGCCGCCGAAGCGGTCCAGTCCGGTTCTGAGCTTGGCGGAGGAGTGGACCCAGGCGACGGCGTAAGTTTGCATTCGGCGCAGGTTAGCGGGAGGCGCCTTCAGACCTTGAGCAGAGATCAAGTTAATCTCCAAAATGTGAGTCTCCTCCTCCATTGTTTGTCGTCTATCCTCCGGCGAAACTCACAGCATCTTCAACTCCCTCCTCTTCTGGCTGATGATTGAATTCAACAAGAAATCAAAGAAGCAATTGAAACTGTTTTCGTTGTTTAAAATACAGAGTTCATTAAAAGTGAGCAAATGCGTTCATTAATCAATCAAGAAGTTAAAGGGAGATGAGACCTTTTTTGAGGGAATACGTTCTGCACTGCCCTCTCTCTCTCTTCTCTGCGACGGCGAAGAAGACGGTAGGGAAGAGGGAATTAGAAGTAGCGAAAGCGCTGAGCGGCGGCCGTCTTTTATTCACCGTCGGGGATTGATGAGATAATTATTAATTCGTTAATTCTGGTATTCCAGCTGGATTCCCGGTTATATATTCCAAGAAGGAAAAATCTATAGAAATTAGTTCAAATAGGACTAAAACTATGGCAAAAACCTAAAATAGGACTTGCTATGTTTTTATTCCAAAATAGGACCATATGAGTCCTATCGGAAACATACCTATTTTTGCATTCCATTCTTACCCTTCCATTAAATATGAATTAAAAATAGTAAAAAGCAATAATTAAATGTTTAATTCATAATAAATTCGAAAAAAATTCAAAAATTCGTAGAAATATAATTAAAAAATTTATAAAATTTTTATAAAATAAAAAATTCAAAAACTTTTTTTTTTAAAATAATTTTATTTTTTAAAAAATTAATAAAAAATAGTAAAACTCCGTAAAAAAAATTTAAAAAAATATGGATGCCTTTCCCACCGCCTGTACTACCTCCCACCACCACTACCTCCGGGCGATGAAAAAAATGTCATTTTCCCAGAAAAATGCCATTTTTTCTGAAAATGCCAAAAAAGTGGCATATTTCTCTTTTCGAATGCCAACATTTTCATTTTTTCTGCCATAAATATGGCATTCGTAATGAACTTGACATTTTTTTCCCCTGGTGACTGGAGGTGGTGGTGCTGAGGCGGCAGAGGCGGCGGCATTTTTTTTTTGAGTTTTTATTTTTTTTTTATTTTTTTTTAATATTTTTAATTTTTTGAAAAAAAAAATTAATTAAATTTTTAATATCGAAATGTTTTTCTTAATTTTTTGGTATTTTTTACGAATTTTTATTATTTTTTATTATTTTATTAGGAATTAAAACATTTTAATAGCTATAAGGGTATAATTGTCCAAGGTACACATAATTAATCTTATGCAAACATAGTTTATTTTTTGGTCCTATTTGTGAAAAGTGAATGACTTTTAGTCCTATTTTGATAATTAACTCAAAAATCTACGGTGCATCATTAAATATGGCAAATTATACCGTGCAACCGGGGCACCATGAGGATGGTGCACCCGGTTGCAAAACGACGTAGGATTGTCTGTTTCTTTTCTTTCTTTTTTTGCTTTTGTTTGTTAAAAAATGATAATACCTTTTTTATTTTTGATCCGATTTTTATAAAATTTATATCAACATTTTTTATTTTTCATGATCTTTCAAATGAGACCAATATTGCTTATGTAATTTTAAAAACTTATCGAACTATTATATTAATGGTATTGGATTATAAAGAAAATCGAACTAAATTTAATTTAGAAAAATAATTGTGTAAATCACAATTTATCTTAAAATTGTGTATATAAAAAATTTATTGTATTATGTATTTATACATGTGAGTTACATATTTTTATACGTGAAGTTACATATTTTTACACGTAAAGTTACATATTTCTACACGCAAGTTACATATATACACACGAGTTGCATATGAATTGCAGGGAGATGATAGGTTTGTGAAATAGAAGATCGAATCTGTTTGAGAGTGGATCAGTGACCTCAGTTACATTGAGTTACATCTTTTTATGAGCGAGTTACATCTTTTTATAAGCAAGTTACATATTTATACACGCGAGTTACATATTTATACACACGAGTTACATTTGACCTGTCTGAACGCGAGTTACATATTTTTACACGTAAAGTTACATATTTTTACACATAGAGTTACATATTTATACACACGAGTTGCATTTGGCCTGACTAGACGTGAGTTACATATTTTTACACGTAAAATTACATATTTTACATAGGTTAATATAATAGTTCGACAATATGTTAAAATTACATAGGCAATATTGGTCTCATTTGAAAGATCATGAAAAATAAAAAATGTTGATATAAATTTTATAAAAATCGGATCAAAAATTAAAAAGTTATTACCATTTTTAAAAAAAGTTTTGGGAGTGGGTGTACGGTGCTCATGCTGGGACGGTCTTTATAGATGGTACCCGTACACTCTCTTTTAATCCAATCAGATTTCGACATGCTGTCAAGTTGGCATCCTAGTCATCTTTATATGAAAATACTATATTTTGCATTTCAGTCCTTCGAAATAAAACTGCTGAATAGATGAGAACTCTGCCGAATTTTCTGTTCAAACTACCTTCCTCATCTTCCCCTGAAGATTGGAATTAACAATGTCCTCAACTCTCTCCGGGAACCCTGTGGTGACGGACTTCTGCAAATATGCAATCCCTAATTCCAAAATAAATCCAGCGAATAGAATCAATTCCGAGCTTCACAATCAATTCTTTTTAACTATTTCATAAACTTTTACTCTGGTGGCCTCCTCTAATCTGCGTGTTCGGTCTGCCACCTCTCTAGTGTGCTCTCTGATTCCATCTCTCTCGCGTGCTACGGCTGCCATATTTGCTTTAAGGTAACATCTGTGGGATTTTCTCTCATTGAGGATGTAATTTTGTTTCACTTCTATCTTATTCTAATTCTATCTGCTTTTACTATGGTTTTCATGGTGTCATCTAGCTGATAACGGGATGTCTAGGCACTTAAGAAAACTTGCTATGGCTGGTTGTGTCGCCTATAAATTGCTTGAACAGTGTCATTTAGGTGTTCATGGCGTCATACATAATTGATTTTGCATCTTATCAATTTTCAATTCATAACCTAACCTGTTTTCTACTAGTTTCAAAAGAAAAATGTCTGAATTGAGTAAACTTAAGAAAAGCCACAAGATAAACTGATTCCTGGCAAGTTTGCCTTTTCTTTCATCATTTTTGTTTCTTTGTTTATATTCATAATTTTTTCCCTTTTTTCGTTTCCTTGATCCAAAAAGGGGGAATCTCCCACCCCAGGAGCCCCCCACCCCGATCCGACAGGATGGTGGGGAGGTTAGTCACGGTGACTTAGTCAGCAGAATGGCAGTAGGCCCATACACCCGTGCGCACCAGAGGTCCAGCCTTATTTCAGGTTCTGTGACCTCCACCCGGTCGCTGCGGGGATTCGAACCTTGATACATTGATCCAAATCTCCCACCACTCGACCAACTGAGCTACCCGTGCGGGGTTTTTTCCGTTTCTTTAGATAGCAATCAGATGATTAGAATGATTACATCACTGGTTTTTGCAAAAGTTTCATTGTTCATTAATTTGCAGAAAATAGATATCAAACTCTTGCATTGAGTTAATGTGGTAAATTAGTGAATTCTTGTATAATATTTTATAATGTATAGAAATGTTACACACTGCTACTTGTTTCCTAGGCGGTGCAATCGCCCTGGCAATATGGCGGTTTGCTGGAGCTGATCTTAGTTTAGCTGCTGTGAGAGCCATGATGATTTCTACTTGTATTACTTTCCATTAAAGTGACTCACTGACTCAGGCTATGATGATTTTTTGGTTCTTTCCCTCTACCGATTGAGGATCTATGTACTCGTCATATTTTAGTTTGTTCCACTGTTCTTGAAGTATTTAATTGGCATTTGTCAAAGTTCATTATATACAATACTCTGTATAACTTAACAAACTGTACTATAATTTTTAAAAGCAAATGGTATTTGCCATATTATAAATTTGTACAAGCCAAGTTTAAACAGTGGAAAAACATCAAACATCTCATTTCCTACCATTATACAGATCCAAACATAGCAGAAAACTGTAGTGGTCTTTAAGAGCACATATTGAGCTTGCCGATTTGATACTTCATACAATATGCACATAACTAGCTGTGATTGCATTGTTGATTCTGTTTATTTGTTCTCCAACTCAATGTCTCACATTCCATGGTTATAGGTGAGGACCTGTGATGATGCTGTGTCAGACCCATTTGACTGTTTTTGGTCTGACTCCTAAAAACGTGGATGAGATTTTTGAATCAAACCTTCCCCAACCCATCCCACACATTGCCTCGAAAACATGGTAGAAGCCATAAACGGTCTCCATGCAAACATCCAGAACTTCACAAGGAGATTTTTTATGCTAACTACAACTAGCTAGGACTTAGTTAGGCATCCAGTCCTGGTGTTTCAGCAAATGCATGCCACGTGACCCTATTTTACTACCTTTTTTTTACTTTTTGTCAACCAGATGGTTTAGGTCTACTGCTTATTGGGCATGATTAAGAATTGGCAGTGTGACTTTGTCTCTTATGCTAGACTATTGTATATGAAATTATGTTTACATATGTACTTAGCTTACTGAGCGTTCGCAAGGCCACTGTGGTAGTTGAATTGTATAGTGAACACGTAGTTGATAGCTGGAATGCTTCTTGTATCATGAGGCTATGAAATGTATTGTCCTTGTGCCATTTTTTTTAAAAAAAAGTGTTATAGTTTTGTTGTTGTATATACTATGGGAAAATATGAGACATGAGATTTGCTAAGATCCCCTTTGTTGGGTAGCTTTTGAATTAATAGGAGCTCATTTACGGTATAAAAAGATGGAGATTATGTAAACATAATGATATCCAAGACTTTGGCAGTGATTTATTTCATGATTTTTGTACTAGTTACAAGTCACCAGTCACTTCCTTTCTAAGCTAAAAATAAAATACATTGTAAAACAATGTTATATGTAAACGGTAACTTCCTTTTAACATGTAGTCTGGAACATAAAGCGAACAAACAGATGTCATAATAGCAAACAAACAATGTTATACGTAACTAGTCACTTCCTTTTAACTTGTAGCCTGGAATAGCAAGCGAGCAGTCACTTCCTTTTAACACCAAGCTGAATTCTGCCCACACTAGTTCTCCTTCCTGTCCTGTTCCTTCATTGTGTTTAACCTTTCATCGTAGTGCACTACAGTGTCCAGACATGTTTTCAGATGCATGCCCGAGAGCATCCTTGTTGGAACCTCTGGGTAGTCATGCCCAATCTCCATTAATGCATACATATACATTTCGTGGCTGCAAAGAACTTTCATAAGATTGGCTACCATAGGGTCAAGCTTGCTATGTTTGGGGGCAACTACTCCAAGTTGCCTAAGGGCAAGCCCTCCGTGTCTAACTTCTACTCCATCAGCCTTGAGAATCAAAGACAACTTTGACAATTCATGTCTAAGTATTCACCTTAAAAGATT